GCCAAGTACTTTGTTATCTTTTCCTTGTTCAATTCATGTCGGGCCATTATACTTTAGTATTCTTCTAGTGGGAGAAAATCTTATGTATCTGTGCTATCTCACACTATTTGGCTGGGTCAAAAAGTTATAAAGTAAAGAAGAGAGGAAAGGTTAGAAAGTAGTGCAGGTGTTAGGTTTAAGGATTAATGGAGCTCATCTTGTAAAAGCTCTTTCAACTCCTTATGAAATGAATTTGAAGGATGATCCATATATATATGATTTTTTTTCTAACCATGGTATAATTTCGAAGGGGAAAAACCTACTTCTTAAACAGCATATTATCTGATTAACAACGGCTATGTATTACTTGATTCCTTGTTCTTCTTCCTTTGGTAGGAAACAGGAATCTGAAAGCAAAAGAGAATTCATTGCCATTCCCAAAAAAATTGTTGGCGGGTAGAAACCAAAAATAGTTCTCTCATGTATGCTGTGATAGCAAACAGGGGGTGGCCTCATCATGAAGTCTTTTTTTTTTTGGAGAAGAAATACTCTATATTTATTTCGTCCTTTTTTTCCTTTCCTTTTTATTTTTGCCTCTCTGTTTCGTTTTTCCTACCTTTTTCTTCTTGTTCTTAGCAGCTAGTGAAATACAAAGAGATGCGACAGGATGGATCTTATTTTCTTTTTTTGCTGCCATAATACTTTCTTTTTCTTGTCTTTGTCATTTAATGAAATGAAGTCATGGAGGAGGTTATAGTGTGTTTGTGCTTTTGGATGGAGAAAGGGCTTAGAACCAAAGTCCACTTGTTTTAAGTGTGTGCCACTCGCTTCTAGTTTGGAAGGAAAAGTTAAATTTTCACTTTATTCCATAACCTTGAGGAGGTTATGTTATATGGTTCCAAATGTCAGGTTTACATATGATGAACTGAAAATTGAGGGTAATCCCTATATATGTAACCCTCAAGAAAGAAATCCCTATATAACCCTCTTATTTAGTGGTATTGTGAGTTGTAAATATAGTATGGAAGTCTATTTGCATATTGTCCTCCACAACTAATTTATAGAAGTGAATGCTTGTGCAATATTTTTCTTGGTTAGCTTTTGAAAATATTTTTCATATGCAGAATCAGATGGTTGTGGAATTTTAATATTGAGTATGTGCATTTTTCTTGTTCAGGTCATTTATTGAAGACTCCAGGGCTGGCATAAAAATATCTCCTCAGGATAACAATTTCCCAGGACTGCATGATAGGGTAGTTACAGTGACCGGAACTCTAGACGAGCAGATGCGGGCTATTGAATTGATTCTATATAAGTTAGCAGAAGACCCTCATTACATGCAGTCCATGAATGCACCATTCCAATATGCAGGTATGATGCAAATGTAACTAATTTATAGTACTTACTTTATCTAATAGCTTTAGTAGATGAGTTAGCATTAATTATGTATTTTCGTATTTCTTGATGTATGTGATTACTTGTCGTTACTTTCGTTTCGGCCTTCTGATTACAATACTCAGTTCTAGTTTTGTATCTTGGTATTTTTGCTTCGGTTTTAGAATTGGTGTGATTTCTGCTGCCCTTCTTTTATCTTTCCTAAGCCGAGGGTCTTTTGGAAACAACCTCTCTGCCTTCTTGAAGGTAGGGGTAAGGTCTGCGTACATACTACCCTCCCCAGGCCCCATTTGTGGGATTACATTGGTTTTTTTATTGTTGTTTGTTGTTGTACTTTATCTAATAGCTCGGGATGGATAAGACATACTCTCATGTCTTAATTGCCGTCTGTGAGCAATTGTTGGGTATTGCTTCCTATAGGACCTCAATCTACAAATAAGAGAATGGACGATGAAGGGAATTTATTAGCTTCTTGGCTGCACCGCTTTCTAAATACTACTAGACCTAGTCTCTCTTGTAATGTTGTGTGCGGCTATCAAGAGTACGTTTTAGGGGATTGTTGTAGTGGTTGACTTAATGGAGCATCATATTCAGAAAATTGAGTTTAAGCAGTTATAGGAATAAAGTATCTCTAATTTGAGATGTTCATATTCTGCCCTTATTCTAAGTCATATTCTCATTTGAATTTTTAATTTCTAAGTCATATTCTTCCCTTTACCCCACTTGTGGGACTACTGTTGTTGTTGTTGTTGATTCTCATTTGAATTTTTAATTTCTGCCACCTCCTATTTTCTCAGCTGTTTATGTCGGAATGAACTATGGGCCACCAAACGGAGTTGGAGGAAGATATCCGAATAACCGACATCAGAACAAGGTCCATTCTCATCCTTCTTAAGACAATACTTATCTTCATCCTAAAGGAAGAACTTTGTTGTCCTTAACTCTGCTGGCAAACCTGTTTTTATCCTGCAACCATTCTTTTACTTTCTAATTGGTTTGAAGCTAATGAATGTACTATATTATCCTGTTTCTAGATGCGGTTCTGCACTTTGGCTAATTTCTTATTGGTTCTGTTATGGTTCTATTCTTGTTTAGCTTACTCGGGTAGCATTGCAGGAAGACAGAAACAATACTGTGACTATTGGTGTTGCGGATGAGCATGTTGGGTTAGTCCTGGGGCGCAATGGTAGGAGCATAATGGAGATCAGTCAGGTGTGTAAGAAGTTGCTATTCTGCCTGGTATGTATTTATGCTAAGTCTCTCCTTTCATTGCAGCTTAGTGGTGCCAGAATAAAGATATCGGATAGGGGTGATTTCTTGTCCGGTACGTCTGACAGGTATGGCGTCCTGGAACTGTTGTTCCACTTGATAGGTTGAACTACAAAGAACACAGATTGTATAAAACTTTTTGGCCTTTTTGCAGGAAGGTAACTATCACTGGATCACAAAGAGCAATTCGCACGGCTGAGTCCATGATATCTCGGAAAATAGCTAATGTTTCTGAGAGGTGATGGGATGGACTTGTATTTATAGATATTGGTCTTTGACGTTTTCTTAATGGATACCTAGAATTTCATATGCATGTGATGATTTTGAAACTGTTATGACATTTCTATTGCGATGAATTTGTGAAATGCAGATCCACGGTTGGAGAAGACCTTCCATTTGAGGAGCTCCGCATAAATACAGTACATTAAGGAATATTTGGAAGCACCATTGTGGGGATAATTGTCGCAATTGATAAAATTGACTGAATATATACGGTATTATACAGTTGTAATTCTTCAATAGCTAGCACTCAGTTGACAATTCTGAAGTTTCTTGTGGTTTGTTAGATACAAAACATTTGTTCCTTATGTCTCGTAGAGGAATAGTCATTGTCATCAGCAGGAGTCGTGGCATAAGCTTGCAGGAGAGCATGTATGAGGGTTATGCGAGATGTGAAAATTGTTAGACTTCTGGCTTTGGAGCAATTTTCGTATTTTATGACTTTGAATACTTTGATGTGGTAAACTTAAATAGTACGTAGGTATAGTTTCTCTGGTTGCAATCGACATTTTCATTTTATGCTATATTATTTAGTGATGATTTTGTTGGAGATCCATTGGTTCATTTGATTAAAAGTAGACTGAGCACTGTTAACATTTAGGGTTTTTTAGCCCGGGCCTTTGAGGAAATGAGGTTGCTTGCTGCATTTTACTTGCAGGTATACTTTAACTACTGGGTTGATTATATTATCATGATCAGTTTGCTTATGGATATAATTATTTGGGTAAAGTGCATTAACAATCCTTAAACTTGAGCAGGTAATTAATTTAAACTTTCAGCTGCTTTTAGGTGCAAAAATGGCCTTAAACTATGAAAATACAATAATCATAACACTTGTTATAATTTTTATTCGCAACAAATTTTTGGAACAAATAAGCAATACTGATACTGAAATATCATCAAATAGAAGTAATATGTATGTCAGCATATTTTCTCGAATTTTTTTAATAAACTCATACTCCAGACTTTTAGTTAAAGAGAGTAGAAACTATAATTAGAGTTGTAATTTATTGTAGTAATTTCACTTAAACTAAAATGAAGTGGGTTTAAATTTCATCAAGGACATTTTCTTTGTCTATTTTTCATGAGTCAAGCACTTCCCTATTAAACCCCCTGTCTAATTTCCACTAGTTTCCCTTAAGAGTATCTTCAACACTCCCCCATTTCTTCTAAATGCAGTCCTTTTTTGCCAAAATATGGCTTCAATGCTCCCTAATTTTGGGGTACTCCAAATTTGGAGTGACACTATTCATCTTCCCCGTTACTATTAATTGTTACTTTATTATTATTTTTTGTTATTTAACTTTTTTGAATTATCTATTTATATATATCTAATTATGTTTATATAATATCTTTATAATATTAATTTTACATCTTAACTTTGGCGTATAATTTTAATAAATTGATTTTCATGCATTTATTATTTTTACGTAAAATTGTAATCTAATTTTATTATAAGTTATAACTGTACAAAAAAATAGATAATCATCTCAAAAAATGAATGGTGCAAATATTAAATATTAGATGTTGCTAAAATTGAATGATATAAATATAAATATTAAATGTTGCTAAAATTGAAAAGTGAAAACTGAAAATGCATTAAATGAAAATGCATTAAAATTGAAAATACATTAAGATTGAAACTACGGTAAATAGCATAGAATTTCTTTAATAGAAATAAGAAATTAGAATTTAAATAAAAAATAATAATATAATATTAAAGAGAGAGAAAAATATAAAATAAAATATATTTTTTTTGAAATAAAAAATAGAATAATGGTTATAGTAATTTTACTCCATTTTGGAGGAGGAAATGAAGGCGAGGGTTGGAGATGGCACAAAAATCCAAAGTGTACTTTGAGGAAAACCTGGAAATTTATTGCATTAAATTGGAGTCACATAATAATACAGAATATGGTGAAATTGGATTACATGCACAACCAAGCAAAGTTTAATATACCACATAAATAAAGGTGTGGTGAAACCATGCAACTTATTCTATATCATAAATTTAAAATGCATATACCAAATAGTATATATCAAATTTTACGTATAATGAACTTCAATATTCCAGCAGTTCAAGGTCGTTCATCACCTCCATATCCTGAACCATAGCCTGATCCATACCCTGAGCCACTACCATACCCTGAACCATTGCCACTGCCACCGCCGCCACCACCTCCACCGCCACCTCCTCCTCCACCGCCACCGCCTCCTCCTCCTCTAGCCCCACCACTTCCATATCCAGAGCCACTTCCACTTCCATAGCCAGAACCATACCCTGAGCCATTTCCTGTGCCGCCACCACCACCACCTCCTCCACCACGACCACCACCTCCTCCACCGCCTCCACCCCTTCCTATTCCTTCACCCGATCCATACCCTGATCCAGATCCGAACCCATATCCAGAACCACTACCCATACCCGAATTTCCCCGACCCCCACCGCCTCCGCCTCCGCTGCCGCCACCTCCACCACTCCCATACAGCCCATCACCCCCACCATATCCTGAGCCTTCCCCTGAACCATATCCCGAACCATAACCTGAACCAGACCCTAAGGCTGACCCTCCACCTCCGCCTCCTTTACCGCCATTTACCGACTTTCCTAATCTTGCACAAAAGGCAAGATCAACAAAGAGTAAAATCAACAATGCAGCTGCTATAAGCTTGGAATGAGCCATTTCTTAGCTTTGAAATTCAAATGCAACAAGTTATCAAGTATGATATGGATCGATGATAAGTAATGGTGTTTATGCAATTTCTATAGAAAATATATATGTCACGTACTTTAGGAGAGAGGAAATGGTACTTATGATTGTGAGGAATGAGGTTATGGTAATGTCCTATTTATAGCATTCCGAATTACTACTACTTAATATTTAAAGTTGCATGGTTTCTTGTAGCTTCTTAAGAAGTAATTTTAGTGGAAGATGAGAATATGAACGTGTTGACTTGTTGGTGGGGTTGACGGTAATGTTATCAAGATCGACTTATCATGTGGGTGTTGGTGATTGGTGTGGAAGAAACTAAGGGAATGGAGAATATAATCATGCATGGGTTCAACAAAATTTCAATATTTTCGATAAGGCATAATAAAGTTTCAATAAACACAAAATTTTATAATCATCTATACTATATTAATATTAATATTAATATTAAATATATTAAAAGCACGAAGGCTTAGCAAATGTCGTTCGCTTTTTACCCCTTAAAATTAGATTTTATATTGGATAGAATTGTCATTTAATTATTTTTCCTAATTTTTAGGACTTTGAAATACACTAGAATTTTAATTATTAAGTGTTTTCTTATTTAAACTATGTAAAAAGTTCTAAATTTGGAATTTCAATATCAAATAAGATTTTACCAAATCGATTGAACCAAATACTATTTGATTTCCCCTATAATTGTCGTTCGTTTTTCTGCGTGTTTATGTGACTTTCTTTTTCCAATTTTTGCCGTAGGTTTTTTCTTGCATTATCTTTTTCTTGATTCCAAGAATATTATTTTGTTGTGTCAAGTAGGGTGTCAATGGTTCGGTTCGGCCGGTTATTTTATAAAATTTGTACCATACTAATTTTTCGGTTATTCTATTATATATAACCAAAATTAGACTTTTCCAAACCGTCCCAATCATGTCGGTTTCTCTTCGGTATCGATACGATTCGGTTAATTTTCGGTATTTTTTAAATGTCACGTAAAATTTACCAGTAGAAGTAGAATGTAATAACATATACGTTCTTTTATAGGACTTAGCAAAACTCTCTAGACATTCTTTCTGTTTAAAGGGTGATCAATTAAAAAAAACATGAAAGATGGCTAGAGTATAGATCCATCAACTATTCTACATCAACGTAAAAATGCCAAGTAAAAGCAAAGAAAATATAATTCACACGAGTGGAAAGATATTAACCAAGCTGGGACTCAAGAATAAAATTTTTAAAAGATTAATATTCAAAAAGATAAATCTAAATTATATGAAAGGAAACATATTCAATACATTGTACTTTGCTAATCATAATAGCTAGAATACTCTTTGTCTTGCTAATACAGATACTTGAAATAACTTAGTTTAAGTAGAAGTAGCATAATAGGTTTTGGGAATTAGTATTTTGAGTTTAATTACTTGTTGGCTTGTAACAGTTTTCATAATTTCAAGGCCCAAAGAAAAATTTAATGCTTTATTATTTTTAAACTTATTATATAAATATATTTTCCACATATAAAATTTACTCGGTACGGTTCGGTATTTTTTTGGTTTTTTTTACAAAATAAAAAATCTATCTTAATTATCGGTACGGTTATAGATTTATATAAAAATCTATGATTTTCTTAAAAGAAACCTAAAAATTGGTTTGATGCGGTACGGTTCGGTCGGTTTAGTCGGTTTTCAAATATCCATTGACACCCCTAGTGTCAAGAGTCAAGATGACTCATTAATTCATTAGTTTATATTTTATGACTTATTTATTTTCATTTTAGTCATGTCCTTGAATTTTTTTCTTATTTTAGTAGTCTATTATTAATTTCTTTATTTAAATTTAGTCCTATATGTCGTTACTTTTGTGAGACCCCATGTGTTTTTTTCTCTTCTCTTACGTAATATACGTAATGTGACATGATTATATTAGGTATATACGATTGGGTATAGCACATTGGGAGAATAAGACTGAAAATGTGTGGTAATATCAAGGAACTAACTAAAGCTTTAGGTCAAAGGAATCCCTTAAACAAAGGTTCGTGGTTAAAGAAATGGCTCAGGTACCACCCCGCGCGTTCGGAAGGTTTAAGTTAACTTGCACCTGTGGGATAAGACTAAAAGTGTCTAATATGATAAGAATAGTGTATTATGAGGTACTATAATATCACACGGGTCACATGTTATGTTTTGGAGTCAAGAAAATAAAGGTCGGCAAAGGTTATCGTAAATTTCTCTAATAATCTTTCTAAACTTTGGGTCAAATGTATCAGATCATTTCTCCTAATATATAATGAGTTATAGGACCCACAACATATCAAATTGAAGGTCTACAAGTCTAGTTCGCAACCAAAAAAACCTCACATCAAACGGACATTGGCGTAAAACGTTATGACTACTTTACCCCGGACTGTCCAGGCTGAAATCGGGTCGCGAACTGACTCGGGTCAAACAAGTGGTATAAGTCGGCAAATCCGACTTGTAAGACCCCAAAATATTTCATTTTCGTCCCAAAATAGTGAGGAAGCTGAAGAGAGGATTCCATGGTGTTCTTGAGTGATTAAGGTATGTTTTTAACGATTTCTACCGTTAAAGTTTGTCCCCGTGCCTAGAAACTCAATCTCTACGCTTTGCAATCGTTTCCCCTTCTATTAGCTGTGTTTGGAGCTATTTTTGGAAGATAGGAATTTGTTGTTCTTGCTGGTTCTTCAGGCTTTATACTTGATTTTCCAAGGTAATCATCTTGGGACTCTTTTATGATCGTTTTTACAAAGTTCTACGGACGTTTCGTCAAGTTAGAGCCATAGGGCAAATCTGCCGATTTAAACTCAATTATGAACTNCAATATGATACCGGTTAGCTACCGGGAGAGACCGCCATTGCTAGCATTTGGTTGGGTATGTCATGCATTTACATCAATATATATGTATTCACGACATATGCTTACACAAGCATACCATGCATAATTGATTACTGTGAGGTCGGATGTCGGTCATGGAGGCTACAAGAGTTTCNGAAGCTTAGGACATAAGGAACAACTTTCGTGAAGGAACTACAGGCATTCAGACGTTCGTTGGGAATGTATGTTAAGGCTAAGCTCCGTCCTTCCTTTTTGCACGAATTCATGGAAATTCCTAGGACGTCAAATGTGATATTTTACTATTCTATTGCTAGAAAGACCTTCTGTGAAAGGCATTGGGATCGTAGCTGAAGTATTTTCATGATGCTATTAGGTTGATATTCCACTCGTTCGGTTAATTAGGGTATTCGACATCTATATATGTCATTTTGTCGGCTTTCTTATCCATATGTCTANGAATGGTTACTTTTGTGTATAGTTTGGGTATTGTCGGGGCCTTGTTCCGATAGTGCTTATGACACTCTTAGAGGCTATTGTGGACACTGTATTATGGGTTTCTTTTTGTAGCTTTCAGTGTCCAGCCCATAGGCTTGGCATGTATATATATGTGTGTAGGCATGTATGCCTCCAATCGCGTCCTCATCGGCCAGCTAGTACTTTATTATTTTGGCTCGTCTACCTTTGTTTATATGGCTTATTGTTATTCAGGTCATAACCTTAATGGTCCAGGCTTAGTATTTCAGATGTTGTGCTGCCGGATCTGTTGGGCCCCCAGTTTAGTTAGCTAGTATGTTTAGTGGCCAACTCGATCGAATACAGTATCGAGTGCCAGTCGTGCCTCCCCTAGTTTGGGGCGTGACAAACTTGGTATCAGAGCAGGTCGTGTCCCAGTGAGTCCACAAGCCGTGTCTAGTAGAGTCTTGCTTATGGGTGTGTTGTGCACCACACTTATAATCAAGAGGCTATGAGGCATTTGGGAATGGTTATGTTTCTTTCAATTAATAGATCATGCTATAGAGCAAAGTTATAAGAACATATGAAATCTAAATCGTGCTTTGTGTTTCTTATCTTACAGGCTACCTAGCTCAGGAGATGTCACAACGAGAGATAGGTATGAATCCGGAGGAAGGTACCAGTTGTTCCCCACCGGGTTAGAGGGATAGATTTCCCTTAGAGGCACATAGTGAGTCTCCAGTACCCTTAGTCTCAGCTTTTCCAGCACTTGTTGGAGCTCAGGGAGATGCAGTAGCCCCAGCCTCACCAGTTATATTAGTACCTGAGGCAGCTAGAGACACAGGACCTCTAGCACTTGTTGTTCCGCCATCAGAGACTGGGGAACAGGGGATGAGGGAGGCAGTTCAGTTGCTGACTATGATGGTTTCTATTCATAAGCGACAGCTAGAGTCAGGAGCAGATGCCCGGAGAGATCGGACAAGAAGTTCGACGGTATGAGAGTTTCTCCACTTGTCCCCTCCATTATTTACAGGATCCAGTTCTACTGAGGATCCCCAGGACTTTATAGACCAAATGTATAGAGTATTGAGGGTGGTACATGCCTCAGTCACCGAGGCTGTGGAGTTGGCTTCTTTTCGACTACGTGATGTAGTCGTCCTATGGTATGAGGCATGAGAGAGATCTATAGGACCTGATGCTCCCAGCAGAGTGGGAGGACTTCTCTGAGGCTTTTTTAGCCCATTATTTGCCACAGGAGGTTCGGGAGGCCCGTCTTGACCAGTTTCTTAGCCTGAAGCAGGGGGATATGAGTGTGAGGGATTATAGCCATAAGTTTAATTCTTTGGCGAGGTATGCACCAGATATTGTACGTACCATGAGGGCTAGAGTTCATCATTATGTGGATGGTTTGGGGGATCATCTGATTAGAGACTGTAGGGTAACATCCCTATCGGATGATGTAGCTATTTACCGCATACAGGCTTTCACTTAGACTACAGAGGACCTTTCCCGTCGGATTCGTGATACTCGCAGGGATAGGAAGCATAGTAAGAGGGCTCGTACTATGGGGTCTTATAGGGAGCCACAGGGTGATTTCAAGCCCCCACTCCATCGATATCCACCTCGATCAGCAGGTAGTTTCCCACCACAGATGCAGGGCCAGCGGTTTG